TTTTTTCTCCCTCTCGTGTATAGTGTTACAACGCANGTGCACTAGCTTTGCAGAAAGCATTGGCATAATCAATCCAAGCCAATAAATAGGTTCTTTGGCTATTATGGTGTCTTGTATACGTTAGTTTATTGCTGTAGGTGGTAGGTAGTGATGATAAGAAGTGCTATAATGTGCTCGATTGTCTACAGCAGTTGAAACTGTCTTTTTTTATCCGTAGTATCTGACCATGGATATGCCTTTAGGATAGACTATCAGAGCTAATCAACATGTCCTTTGGCTATCATCGTGTCTTGCTAAGTCGTAGATGTTATGTACGATAGACTAGTAACGTCTAGGAATTACCGCAGTCGTTATAGTTAAACTCGACTGCATATACATATATATATATGTTGTGGGAAAGCAACCCAGAATAAAAAGTGGTGCTAGTCATGATAAGAAGTGCTATCATGCATCCGATGCACTTTTGTGTTTTCTGTCCTTAAAATCGTGTTTGTTATCCGTAGTATCTACCCATGGATAAAATTGAGGTTTTAGGATAGTCTATCAAAGCCAATAAATATGCCCTCTGGCTATCGTTGTATCTTTGCTAGATCGTAGAGTTAATCTACTACTGTAGCTGCTTCTATTCTGTAAGTGCTAGTCACGATACGAAATGCTATCATGCATCCGATGCACTTTTCTGTTTGTGTCGTTGAAATCATGTTTATTACCGTAGTATCTAACCACGAATAAGATTTTACGATAGTCTATCAAAGCTAATAAACATGCCCTCTGGCTATCATTGTGTCTTGCTAGATTGTAGAGTTCATCTACTCCTGTAGTTGGCTATATTTAAGGATAGTATAGCCATCGTTGTATGCAAAGTCTACCGCTGTAGGTGCAAGTCATGATAAGAAGTACTATCATGATGCACTTTTATGTCTACTGTCGTTGAAATCGTTCTTGTTATCCGTAGTATCTAACCACGAATAAGATTTTACGATAGTCAATCAAAGCTAATAAACATGCCCTCTGGCTATTCATTGTGTCTTGCTAGATTGTAGAGTTCATCTATTACTGTAGTTGACTAGTTGGCTATATTTAAGAATAGTATAGCCATCGTGGTATGCAAAGTCTACCGCTGTAGGTGCAAGTCATGATAAGAAGTGCTAACATGATACACTTTTATGTTTACTGTCGTTGAAATTGTTCTTGTTATCCGTAGTATCTAACCACGAATAAGATTTTACGATCGTCTATCAAAGCTAATAAACATGCCCTCTGGCCGTTCATTGTGTCTTGCTAGATTGTAGAGTTAATCTATGACTGTAATTGGCTTTATTTAAGGATAGTATAGCCATCGTTGTATGCAAAGTCTACCGCTGTAGGTGCTAGTCATGATAAGAAGTGCTACCATGATGCACTTTTATGTTTACTGTCGTTGAAATCGTGTTTGTTATTGGTAGTATCGAATCACGAATAGTCGATTGAAAAGTAAATCAACACAAGGTTGGCTATCATCTTGTCTTGCTCATAAGACATAGAGGGTTATTCGACTATCGCTGCCTAATATAGAGTGATCGAGTATGCCTAATGTCACCAGCAATCGACTCCACTGTGATTTATGTACATTATACACTATCATCATGACAGTGCCATTATAGACCAGCATCGACGATAGTCTATGTGTAGAGAGGAATAACAGGATGCATATCATGAATTGTAATGAGTTGATTCTCCTCCCCGCCGGTTATTTACATAAAGTCAAAATAAAATCAACCCATTATCATCAGGTGGAATTCACTTGAGTTTTCCAACCTTTTGCGCTATTGGAGAATGTACTAGCAGGCCTAGCGAATTGATTGAAACTATTGCCAATCCAACCAACTCGTACCTAGATCAATATCCATCCATTTGACGATAAGCGCCATCGCTATCTTGGATTATCACCAACAAACTTGTTAACGGTAAGCGTCCCGTTAATTGATATAAACTGCAATCATGTTGGTTGTTATTAGGGCGATGTTGACATCAGCGCCCTATGACCATCAGCAAAATGATGCCCATTCTGCATTCTACTCTTAGCTGGAGTGAGCAATCTAGGCATAAAGTATAGGACAAATGATAAACACTGGTTGCCAACGAGGAGCACGATAATGTACGAAAGTAGATGATAGAGCAACATCATCATTGAATAGCTTTAGGGGGCCCCATATGCTTATGACGATTAGAAATGGACTATCTCTGTGTGCATCCTTCAACCGTACGATAGAATAAATCCGTGATGGATAACTCGTCCTTGTAATGTAAAGAAAGAAAATACGTTGCACATCAAGTCAAGATTGATGCAGTTCTAGGTCTGTTCAATAATTCATGGATAAATCAGACTTGGAACGATTTGATCGTGGTAGGGTAGAAGTATACGCGCATTCAAGGACGACGTAGTCTTTGCTAGGACTTGATGATGGCAATAATGAATCGATTGGAGGAGTGATTAAAATTAGCAATGAATGGATGATGAATGCACTTTATTTCGATCTTGTCAGAGAGCTGTTGCTCGAAAGTGCTTTTTGGATGATTTCTTATGGCATGGCTTGATTGAGATAGAATGATACAATATCAAACGTCGGAT